ATCCCAACCTTCCTAGTTCAGTCCTTAGCTGACTAAACGATACTTCTGTTCCTGAACACGGTTCACTAACCCACTCACTTTTTTCCACATGCGTATAACACAGTGAATTTTACAATTGAACTACTTACCTTCAGCTACCAGGTCAAAGGCACTGTTACCTTGGATGGCCACATTTATATTTCCTTTGATTTCTTCAAGGTTGCTATCATCTTTGGCTATAAACTGCAGAGAAGCTACTAAACTCCCGCCATATGTTACGCTTTTCACGTAATGAGTTCCAAGATCCTCCTTCCGGTAGCGTGTCTGCCAATCTTTCAGAGGTTGGGCATTGGAAGGAATACTGAAAATGGACTATATAAATCGATATTTTAGGTTCCAAGTTGCTGATGTGGTGTTTGGTAAAATTTGGCTACAATATTAAAATGTCACAGTTTTTAGACTGCAAAGCGAATGATTATAATGCAGTGGTCGAGAGTCACAATGTAAAACCATGATTTTGTTATATCAAATTGACAAACAACGATTTATATGCGCAATTAAGTGGTTTTATTTTGGGAGAAATATACTATATGTTTATAAATCGTTGTTTGTCAATTTACTATTATATTAGCATAATGTGCTTCCATACACAAGTACCATGACGTTATGACACGGAGGCAAATAAAGAAACCATTGAGTTACTTAAGCGTAATGTATCACACAGAAGACAAAAATATATAATTATAAATATATACCAAATACACGTAAAAACATAGAAGGGGGCACAAACCGTCCTGTAGTCCAGCTTTGTCAGAATCTCCACATTCTTCCCAATTGAAGTTGTGTCCTTCAAGTAATTTCCGGTCCCTTTTACTTCCAGTTTTCCAGTTTTTATCTTCAAAGATAAATCTCCTGACACGTCCAAAAAGTCTTTGGCATCTTTAGAATTATCGACCATCTTGAAACTCGAAGTAAACTGTGGCCTATCTATTCGCTATTTAGGATAATAAAATTATTAATATAAATAAGATCCATAGCTTAGCTGCATAAGAGGTAAAACGTAAGTTTAATGTGGCTCTCGTATAATAAAGAAAAACATATTCTTGGAAACTATTAGTATTATAGAACCACGACAGAGAATACCTTTTTTTGGAGAATTGTAATCAGATTTTTGCTATTTGTTTTTACAAACGATTTCGCGAAATTAGTCAAAAGAGGTTGACTACGTTATATTAAAACGATTTTGGAGCCTCACTACGTCGCTACAGTAAATGTCGCCATGTTCGCCCAAACTCTATCTGATGACCGTGCATCTTGACAATAGCCCTGCAACGTAGTTTCCATTGCAGAAAACATTCCAAAACATATCAATCACTCCTCTTTGATACATATTCCTTTTTTTTTTCCAATGCCATTAGGCACAAGGAATATCCCCGTCTGGGAAAGTCTAAATACCCTGTCTGAAAACATCGTTATAGTGTGAGCATATGAATATTTTGCGTCGGAAAAGGCTTTTACATATCTTTGCCAAAATTAATCACTTTTCGGTGGCATCGCACTATCTACGAAACACCAAACAATGTTAAAATCTAGTCTTGGTATATTCTGTTCTACTATGAATTTATATCGGCTGTGGCTGTCAGGTGACATGCTGATTTGCATATTCGAAATCGTTTTAACATAACATACTCAACCTTCTGTATTTCATTACTACCTCCGTCCTGTGAGTGTGTTTGTCAGCAAGCTTTCTGAATGGATTAGGACGAAAGCTGGTATACATTTAGACTATGACCCAACTATGTTTGCTCTGTAACTCAGTCAAAAATGATCGGATTTTGATGCTGGACATATGTAGAATATCATTCCTCATTGTTCTGTCACAAATTGTCCGTTGATAACCCTGGACGTACGAACACGTTTTTATATATTTTTTTGAGAACCGAATATGATCAACGCTGCATGACGAAGGTATACGTTGTATAGAGTGCCCCTCTAGTATTATATAATAACTAATGTGAAACTGATTTTAACAAAATGGTAGTTTCGAAATTAAAACATATATATATATTTGATAAAATAAGTGGGAAATACACACCAGTGAGTGGCTAGTAAAAAGAAGGAATAACGTGTTTGGTGCAGGAAATTTATAAATAAATTAAAATTAAATGGAGGCATAAGACAGATAAACATATGCAAATAGAACACCTCGACATCAGATATTTCTACTCTTGGTGAAGCTGTGTACTTATGCATTCACCACTGGTGTAAAGATAAAAGGAGTAATTATCCTCAGGATAAGATATTTGTACTATTACACCTCACTTTTCATGTAACCTTAATTCTATAGTTTGTAGCAACTGAAATTACCATTCAATCAACGTTTAGAACTACCTCACGAATACTATACTAAAATACTTTGTTAAAGTATAAGAGCACAGAACACTACTTTAAGAATATCGTCTTTAGTGGAAGGTAACAGAATTTGAGTAACGTTTCGTTATTTTAAAGTATCTCGCTTAACGAAAAGATGGCAGTTTAATTAATGCACGATTAATTTTGGCTCTTTTTTTTTTAGCGCAAACCCACACAGTAAGCTATTTGATCTCTATACGTCGTGGGAAATCGAACCTCGGATTTTAGTGTTGTAACTTCGCAAACTTATCGCTGACCTACCAGGAGTCTTGCCCCCAGTGGCACAGCGGTATGTCTGCGGACTTACAACGCTAGAAACCGGCTTTTGATACCCGTGTTGGGCAGAGCACAGATAGCCCATTGTGTAGCTTTGTGCATAAATTCAAACAAATAAACAAACAAACAAAACCAGGAGTCTTAATACACGTTTAACGTTGAGTTTCTTAAACGGAATTATAACCTATTTCTTTTCATCTGTAATCACCATTGTAGGTTACAAGGTATTGCTTTCTGTCAAATCAGCCCCCCAGTGGCACAGCGGTATGTCTGCGGATTTACAACGCTAGAAACCGGGTTTCGATACCCGTGGTGGGGCAGAGCACAGATACGCCATTGTGTAGCTTTTGAGACGT